TGTCGTGAAGGCATCAACCCAAAAGATGATGATCTTCATTGAGGAAAATCATACAAGTGGGGTGAGTGTATGAATGGACACTTAAAATGCAACTTAACAATGTGATAATGATTATGCAAGATGGCATACAAGACATATAACACAAGAGGTATTGTGTTTGTTCACCTAAGGTATAGGATGCCACAAGGGAGAATTATACCCTACCTCAATAACGACCAAACACACATTCAAATGACGAGCACATACAGGGTATAGTACATCATGCAAGCAAGCAAACACATGCATGCTTATGCGAAGGAATGAGCTCATGATGGTGTAAGGTTCTTTCACAAGATAGCAAACATTCTTCACTAGTATACGATGGTGTATGTCAATGATGGATGTGTCGATAGCGTGGTAGTGTGCATGCAAAACATACAACATAAGTGAAGATGGTTATTTAACCCACTGGGTCGATTGGGGTGGTCAAACCTAAGTAACGTAGCCAACGAGCTCAGTCGGACTAAAGCTGCCAACTTGACTAAAGTGATTGGTGGCTGGCTGGGATGATTGATTAGACTTAAGTGAAAGGTCGGTCGGACTGGTAGGTGATCGATCGGACCTAGGTGATCAACCGATGAGACCAATGTGCTATGTCAACCATGTTGAGGTGGTCGGTTGAACCAAAGTGGTAGGTCAATCTGGCAGGGTGGTCGGTCGAACCACAGTGATATGTTGATTGGGTCGGGGCAGTTGTTCGAGACAATGTGCTAAGCCGACCGGTTCGGGGCCGCCGATCGAGGCAATGTGATATGGCAACCAAGCTGGGGCGGTCTGTCGATGCAAATATGCTATGTTGACCGGTTGGAGCGACCAATAGAGGCAAGTTGCTATGCCGACCGGACCAAGGCGGTCGGTCAAGGCAAAGTGCAATGTCGACCAGTTGTCGACTAGGCCGAGGCTACAGGTCGAGGCAAAGCACAAATGCAACATGCTTCAAGCAAGACACATATTGTGTCGCAATAAAAAGCAAATGATCATTCTCAATAACAAGCCATACTCATGCTCATGTCCTTACTAGGGAACCTAGGATTTAGCAAATGGATATGCGACATAGTTGCCTCCGGCTTTGGCGAGGCGTGCAGAGAACTTCATCCTTTTGTTTATTGTAGGAGAAGTTCTCCATCAGTTGTAGGACGGACTAAACACAAAGTTTTTTTCATCCTACAATCCTTCCACGAACATGTGGGATTCCAACCAAAGTTTTTCTCACTCTTCAAGGTCTCCAACCATTCCAACCTTTTCAAAGAAGTTAGCAGCACCAAAACCATGGAAAATTGGGATTCCAACCAACCAAGATTTAATTATAGGGTTCACAATGGGAGGTCACTCAGATTTGTAAAGGAATGTGGCCACAAATGTGACTCATAACCTAGGGCTTCCTTTAGGAAATCAATGGCCAATCCAAAGGCATGCGGTCGTGTCGACTAGTGTCGGTCGGCCAACTCGCCTTGTGCGGGCGACCAAACCCACAACACCTAGCAATTCTATTCCTAGGGCTAGCTAAGAATGAAAACGTGAAGAATATATGGAGTTTCACTTATGTGATGATTGTGGATGTGTTTCTTCAATTAAGATGAAGCGCTTCTAACGGTAGGAGAGAAACTCGCGCGATTCCTTCCTCAAAGAAACGAAGAAGCTCTACTCGTCGGAAAGATCGTCGGACCTCGTCGGAGTTTTGCCTTCACCAACGTAAGATGAAGCTCTCCTTCCAAAAGAGAGACCGTGAGCTCACCAGAGTCGCTAAGCATTTCTAGTCATACTTCCTAAAAAATTCATCAGAAAAGAATGAGGTCGCCGGAGAAGAGAAAGAAGGGGGAATAAGAGGAAGAAGATGAATGAGGGGCTCCCTTGACTTTCTCTTCTTGAGGAAGATGAAGAGTCATCTTCCTCTCTTGCTCTCTACAAGAATCTCTTTCCAAGGAACCTCCAAGATCTCCAAGAGGAAGAAGAAGCTGAAGAAGATGAAGAAGATGAAGAAAATGGAGTGTGGGAGGAGAAGAAGTTTTATCTTCTTTGCTTGAGCTCCTCTCCAGATTTTTCCTTCACCAAAGCTCCTCTCTAGCTCTTCACCGCCAATAGGAAGAAGAAGAAGCCCTCTTCTTCCTAGGTCTCCTCACTACTCCAAAACTCAAATGAAGTGGAGATGGAGAAGAAATGAGGCTCCCCTAGTTTAAAATTAGCTCACCTAAGGAAATCCCCAACTTACCCCTTGCTTAGGCCACAAATGGGCTAATGATGATACTTAAGGCCTCCCAAATAAGACTAAACCCACAACCATTACATCCCCTCATGCATATCTCATCAAGCTCAAGAAAACTTCTGCAATTTTGGCTACATAGGGGGGTGTGTCAAGGTCAAATAGATGCTAAAAATATGCTTATTCACGGTCAAGAAATGAACTGGCGCAGTGCGCCTATGCACTGCGACCCTGGCGCCATGATGTCAGGCCCCTAGTGCCTAGGCGTCAGGTCTAGCGCCTACTTTTTGAGGGGCTCGAAAAATTGTTGTTTTTGAGCTATTTTTTGTGTCTTACACTTATTTTTTTTGGGACTAACGCCTAGGCACCCAATGAAAAATAGGCTTTCTTACATCGTGATGGACATCGTAGGTGCGTTGTAATGGGCGAAAATCACCGCCTGGGAGCTGAGTACAATCTCAATTTTGCATCCGGATGTCCGTAGAAAGATTTCCACTAATTCGAAATCTACGGAACATTACAACGATTTCAATTCAAGGATTTTATTGCCAACAAGTGTCCCAAACACCCGCGTGGATGGGTCGGCCTGAACTCTGATTTTCTCAAAACACGCATGGGATAATTCTGTGATCACCCTTTACCACCAGAGGCTCTAAATGGATGAAACATGTTCTCCAAACACCAAAATGGACATTAAATACATCTCATGTCGGAATTATCGTCACATAACAGTGAGCTCTCCCGTGTGGGGGATTGAATCGGTACCGATCTTAATTCCGTTCTCGAGACACGTACTAGAAAATTCGAATGGATGTCTTAGACTACGAGAGACTGAACACATCCCTGAACCATTCAGGTGGACATCCCACACACATACGACATCAAAAGTGATGCCAACACTCTTCATATATATATTATATATGATAAAAATTACTAGATCACCAAAGACTCTAAAAAACATATAATTGGCTCAAAGGGGTAGGAGAATTGATAAGGACATCTACAAGTAAAAAAAAAAGCTAATTTAGTGACTAAAAAAAATAACAATAGTGTTTTCCTTAGTTGGATTATACCTATTTCAACATGTGTTCCAATGGAAAAAATCATGTAGCACTCCAAGCTTGAAGGTCACTTGAGGCCAAATAATCTTTAGTTAATTTTTTTTTAATTGTAAAAGTTTTGTTTGTCATTGCATAAAAATAAATTGCACTTAAAATACTATGTTTTAACAAATCATCATATTTAGAGGAAACCAATTTATTTTAAACAATGATTGGGTAAAGCCATGTTCACCAAGATTTATTTAATAATAGGCTAAAAATCTTGGTTTAAAAAGTTAAATAAAGAATATAAATGTCTTGAGTATGAAGAGAGAAATTGCTCCTTTGTGGAGTAGGCCTTTTTTTGTATTATTTTCTAAGTGGAAACCAGAAAGTTGATATGAGAGTGGTCTTCCCCCTATAAAAAATTGCATATAAGGAGAAAAGACAAAAGATATAATAAGATAGGACTAACAAAATGTTTCAAAAGCTCATATTCAATATTTATGAGAAATTATATCATCAAGGTCAGATAAATCATATTAAATAGAGAAACTAAGTACCATCAATCCTCTAAAATAAATTAAAGGATATCTCTAAGACAGACTTTTTTATTACTGAAGCATGCTTATTCTTTCATTTGTTTTACTTAACAGAAAGGATAATTATGGTTCAATGATTATTATCTTAGGCCCCATTTGTGGCAGCTTATTTGGTGTCGTGCGTTTTGAAAACACACCCACACCCGTTTGGGTAAAGTGCATTTTGAAACCACTGAAATCAGCATTTTCACACAGTTCCTGGCTAGGTGTTGTGGCAGCTTTCTAACTACGGTTTGAAATTTTCAAAAAAATAAAAATTTCCATAAACACATTTTTGAACAGCAGATTATTTTTCAACAGTTTATCAATTGATAAGCTGCAGGATAATATACACTTTGAAATTACAAAGATAGGTGATTATCACTCCATATAAAGAATCTATATGATCTAAAATTTATGGATCACTAAAGTCTGAAAGGTTTTCAATATGCTCACATGGGTGAAGAGAATAATGGAAATAAACAAAAGATGAAACTAACATTAGTTAAGATTTCATGCATCCACTATCTTAGACTATCAAGACTGAAATTATTTCACCATTGAGATAGTTGACCCAACATGGCTATTGGTCTCTTCTCTAGCAATCATGAATTGCATCATCCAATTAGAACTAATATAGTTATTTAAAACCAAGGAAAAAATATTGAGATTCCTAGACATAATTTCCAAGCATGGATCAATAGAATGCATGACTTATAACTCTTAGTGATATAAGAGTTTACTTATAAAGGAAGAGAAGGAGATAAGCCAGCTACATGCATGCAAAGCTACTCCATTAAAATTCAAATTTTGTTTGGATCAGAGCTGCCACTGCCTAACATAATAATAGCCCTCATTGCTAAGCTTGGGGTTTTTGATCACTAGTAAAACTTTCATGAGCCTTTTCAGCATACGAATAATCATAATTTCAATAACAGATATTTTTCATGATTAGTATGAAATTATCAAAAGAATACATGCCTTTTGACCAATACTAAAATTTTGAGCAATAAATTGACCAGCTGAAGCAGAAAAGATACATCAAGGACTGGTGACAACCCAGACAATGAAGTATAGCAATAATGACAATAGAATTGTAAGAGCATGTTTAAGCATAAATAACTGGCAACTTGGTTCATCTAAAAATGTATTTTTCAATTGGAACACCAACTGAAAAAAATCATTCATAATTCATCAACATAGCTACATTGTTATAAAAAAACTGGACCTCAAATGAAACTAGGAACCCAACCAACTCAATTATTATTCAATAATGCCGCAGGAGATTGAAACAGAAAGGGATACTTGTTCTTACAAACCCAATCATTATGCAGATTTTCTGCTTTATCATTCAAGTGAAAGAGATGGGCTGTCAATTGCCAAACCCATTGTATTTAATCCATTGTCGACATAAACTACAGAACCAGTGATAGCAGAAGCTAATGGGGACACCAAGAAAGCTGCAGCAGCACCAACTTCATCTGTACAGCAATTTCCCAAAAATAAAAGGAAAATACGCAATAATATAATATTTTTTAGGAGGAAAACCAGAACATTGTTTTTTTTTTCTTAATAATCTTTGCAAATATACCTGCTAGCAGTTCTTTCTGTAATGGCGCATTAGCATACGAATACTCTATCATCTTCTCAATGAACCCAATAGCTTTTGCAGCACGGCTTCCCAGTGGACCTGATAGTATGAAAAAGGTAGATATAATGATAAATTATTGTTAGAAGAAAACAAGAATTATCAAACTTTATGATGAAATTTCTCTTTTAATAATACTTTTGATATTTCATCGCTGGGAGTGGAGTAAATGGCAACACATACCAGCAGAGATTGCATTTACTCTAACTTGCTTTTTCCTTCCTGCTTCAAATGCTAGTACCTTCATCAACAAGCCATCCGCTTAGCACTATGAATGAGCATGCATAATGAACACCACAAAACACAAAGGAAATGAATGGCGGTAGCTATATACATTACCTTAGTATCACTCTCAAGTGCGGCTTTTGCCGAACTCATGCCTCCACCATATCTGCAAGCAGACATAAAAGGTTACCCTTTCCTTTATCCTGAATTTAGTACTACAGTCAAAATGAATAGAGAATACTACCCTGGAATGATTCTCTCAGAAGCAATGTAAGTTAGTGAGATTGTCGCTCCCCCTGTAGCAAAAATGATAAATGTGTAACATTGCAGTAATTCAAAAAACATAATCTCATTGAAAATGTCGCACTTTAGTACCTGGATTTATTATAGGAAGGAAATGCTGGAGCAAAGATATAAAGGAGTAGCTGGAAGCAGATAAAGCTGCAAGATACCCCTTTCTGGAAGTCTCCAATAGAGGCTTGGTCACCTGAACATTGAGGGATTAGTGTACAAGGGAAAGTTTAAGAGAAACCGTGAAAAACAGTGTAGAAAGCAACATACCTCTGGCCCATTAGCAAGGGAATGCACAAGAATATCTATACTTCCAAAATCATTCTTGACGCATTCAGCAACTTCCTATTTCAAAATGAAAAAAATGTAATAAAAATTAACATTAAGTCAACCAAGTACTTTCTCGATGACACAAGAGGTCTGGATAAAAATCACATATAACTGATTAAAAATTATATAGTGATTGATGTTCTGAAGTGCAGGAAGCTGCCGGGTTACGGTGCTTACCTTCACAGTCCAATTTGAAGAACCTGAATAACGCTTGTTTGTCTTAATCTACATAGAAAAGAAGATCATGACTCAATACATATTGATCTACCATTAAAAAAGAAAATATTGTAACAATAAAAGCAATGTGTATCTTACTTCATCCGGGACATCCTCAAGACTATCAAACACTGCATCAAGGGGATAAACCTTAACAATCTCGAGAAGAGAGCCATTTGATAGCCTGTAAAATGCACACCATTAACGCATTATACAACACAAAGTTGGCATCATGTTGCTGAGAGCTACAACATCCTTATCCAAGTAATGCAAAAAAAAAGGGCTCGTTTGCAGAGTGTAAACAAAATACCGTCGGGACTCATCAAACTTTCCACGCCTTAAACTAGTCTCAAATATGTTCAATGCCTGCATAAGTTAAGCCATCCATGAAATGCAGCTGAAGAGACATGATTCTCCAAAATTAAAAATGCTAATGAAATAGAGAGAACATACAGGCACCCATGTTCCAACAAGAATCTCTGCACCTGCTGCAGCAAGAGCCTTGGCAATTGCCCATCCATATCCATTGTCATCAGCTACCCCAGCAATAAATGCCCTTTTGCCTGATGAAAAGGATAACGCAGAGGATCAAAATGATCAAATTGTAAGGATTTAGATGCATTCATATAATGATAAGATTAAATTCCAAATTAATCCCCTAATTATTTCTATGTGACCAATTGAATTGTATAGTACTATATTTTTCCTATTAAGTCCCTCGATTATACAAATTGATCCAAATGATGCGCATAAAAAACAATAAAGCAATGCCAAATGAAGCAATGAAAATTAGATTATTATATTTCTCCTATTGAGTCCTTCGATTATACCAATTGATCCAAACTGATACACATAAAAGACAATAAAACAATGCAAGATGAAGCAATGAAAATTAAAAGAAAGATCATAACTTCTGTTTGAAAATGAGTACTGTGGACAAAATAATAACCAAGAGATCAAGCACAATAAGAATGCGCTATGATTTATACAGTTCAACTAAAAAAAAATTTATGTTCACAAGAGAGTAGAGAAAGGATCTAATTCACTATAGAGAAGCCACATAAGTGTGAAAAAAAATGAAGCATACAAAAATACTCTTATCCAACAATATTAATCTCCCAATAAAAAAAGAAACCCAGAATATCTCAAAGTCAAACACATAAAAAAATCACATCACGGAGATCATACAACAACAACACCTTAATCCCACTACGTGGGGTCGGCTACATGAATCCTTTTTTTCTCCATTGCGTCCTATTTAGTGTCATATTTTCATTTAGTTCTAATAAATTAAGATCATTTTTTATACAATAAGCCCAAATCTTCCTAGGTCTACCTCTGTCTTTTTTAACAAAAGTCAAATCTAATTGGATCATCAGATGGTCGATGTTTAATGTGACCAAACCATCTAAGACGACTTTCTCTAATTTTGTCCGTCACAGGAGCTACACCAACCATATCACGGATATACTTATTTCATATTATGTCTCTCAGCATATAGCACTCATCCACCTAATCATTCTCATCTCAGCAACGCTTAACTTACTATTATGCTTCTCTTTTAAAGGCCAACATTCAGCGCAATAGAGCATTGCAGGTCTCACCACCATCCTATAAAATTTTCCTTTCAGTCTAAGCGATATTTTTTTATCACACAAAAAACCCGAAGCATTCCTCCACTTCAACAAACCAACTTGAATTCTTCTATTGACATCCCCATCTATAGCACCATCG